AGGTTAAAATTGTTATTCCCACCCACACCAGCTGTATGAAATGTGCTTTTCCTTAGGGGCATCTTTTGGGGGTTTATTCCATGTGATGCTTTCAGCCTCCTTCCCACCTCAGCCCTGCAGATGTGCAGCCTCTCCTGCTTGGGTGGCAGCAGCTGGCAGACTTAGGGCATCGCTGGCCATGTTCAGTCCCATTGGAGATGTGTCCCTCCCCGCTGCTGTCTCCCCAGCCCTTTTCTTCTATCCTTCACTGTGAATGTCTGCTGCAGCAGTTCAGATAATCTCTGTGTTTCTGAAGGGGGGGAGAATGAGCTGCAATTACTATCCAAGAGAAACCATGAAGAGAAGATGCTCTTGGAGGCCTGGGTGCTGGTCATGAAGCAGCTGGGTTCAGAGAGGTATTAAGCAATATACTTAAAAGGTTCTCCCACTGAATAAATGCTCCTGTTCTTCACTCTCAGTAAGAACATAAAGTGCTAGGATGGTTGGAACCAGTGGTGTTTGTGTTTCCCAGCCCCAGGTGTACTTTTTTTCCTGTGAATTTGTCCAACATACGCTCTTAACAGTCACAGTCTTCTGGGAAAAGGCATTGCACACCTGAATGGCACTTTGGTGTGAAAAGCTACCTCCTTGGTGCATTCTGAGCCTGATTTAGTTTCATATAATGGAAGTACAGGCTATTCCCCAAGGGGAACGTTATCAGGGAGCGTTTACAAAGAAGTGCAGTGCCAGTGATGGTGCACCAAGCCCATGTAGCTCCTTGCAAGGAAACTGGGAGCCACTGAGAGCGCTCCACTGGTTCATTATATTTCTTCATCTCCACTGGATTTTTCTCAGATAGAAAAGTTACTAATATGACTCGTGACTGTTGCAGTGAAGGATGGAGTAAGAGATCTGGAGAGCTGCTCTCCAAACACCACAACTGCCTGGACTGAGACACTTCAAAGAACATTTAACCAGCCCCCAGCTGTCCACCAGGGCCACCACTGTCCCACTTTGATGTACTCATTAACCAGCATCCGGATGCTTCCAGTCAGGCAAGGCTCATACCAGCCAGGTAGGTTAGAGGAAAACTGTGCCTCAAGAAGCTGTAAAAGATCACTGCTTTTCTCCAGGAAAGCTGGAGTTTCTAGCTTTGATATGCTATGTAGCCGACAAGTATGTGACTTTGTCATATACATCTGTACATGACTGATGGCAAGAGAAACCCGTTTCCTATGTCTTGAATTTCTCATGACTGAACTACTGCACACCAAGAGATCACAGAAATAACTGACTTCACATTAAATATCATCTAGGAAGATCTGATGGAGCAGCAGATGCCTTGCCTAATGTGCCCCTCCATGCAGAAGCACTGGTGAGAATGCAGAGTGCAGGAGCAAAGATGCTGCTATCAAACTCCTGCAGCCAATGACTGCTACCAAGGTAAGACCTTCTGCCAGCTCAGAGGGCAGACACACAGCACTGCCAGAGGTTTTCTGTGCAAGTCAGCAGAGGGGCTGGTACCACCTGTGATGGTTTCAGGTGGGGTTTGGTGGGGAGAAGAGGAAGAAGAACCTTAGTCCAGCAGAGTTCTCACTTTAAAACTTCAGACTGACACAAATCCTCTTCCTCTTCTTCAAAGAAACACAAGCAACTTATCATTCCCCTCAAGGCTTTTATGTCTGGATGTGGCCATGCCTTCTTCTCTAATGAGGGAAAAGAAACAACCAAACAAGTAAATCAGGCTGTGCTGGCAAAAGTGTACAATTACTATTGTGTGTGAAGGAGAACAGGAACTGAAAAGGAATTCCAAACTTATAATGAGTCATGATATGACTTCTTGTCTTTCTTCCAGATGAGAAAGAAGGACAAGTTTCCCCTTTAGATTCTCTAATTCACTGGGGAAAAGGGAAACCATGTTTTACTTTTAGCAGATTTTGTTCTTGTGTGACCCAGGGGCATGGATAGAGCTGTGCTGCTGGGGAGGCTGGTACATCTGACAAGCCAGACTGAAGCATCCATGTGAGCCCAGAGAATTTTCTTTCATTTCTATTGTCATGCTTGTGATTTCTGCAGGACATAAAAAAAAAAAAAAAAAAAAAAAGAGATTCAAGGACATTGGAGGCAGTTTGCCACAAATGGAAACTTGCTGTTACAAACAGGATTTCCTAAGCAATCTAAGTGGTTGAGGATCTTGTCTTAAACAAAGTATCTCTTCATGAACAAATTGGACTGAGGGATGTTATTTCTTTTATGCATGCTTCTTCCTAAACCTGGTCTTGCAGCTAACTAGTGAGGACTGCTGTCCCTGGACACCAGCTCAGGCTCTGATAGCTTTTGTAAGAGCATTTGTATCAAAATATTGTTGTGCTGGAGTCTCCAAGGCCATCTGGGGCTTTGTGCAGACAGGGTGCTTACAAATGAATGTGAACCAAAGCAAATCAACATTGCTTGGCAGGGATGAAATGTATTGCTAGGGTCTGTCTCTGCCAAGCTAGACTGTTTGGCTCCAGTCCCACTCTTCAGGGGGATTGTCTGTCAGAACACAATTTGGTATTGTACAGCGTCATGGTTACATGGCTCACTCCTTCTTTAACCCCTCTCAGGCCTTAGGCTCTTGTTATTTGTTGAGTGGAAACACGTGAATCTCCAACTCTTAAAGCAGACCTCAGGTTCTGGTACCTTCCACCAATGGTCCTTTGTGCTGCTGTGTTGGTTCAGGTAGAGCTTTCCCCTAGGAGCTGTCAACCAGTAGATTGCAACCTTCTTGAAAGGAAGGCACTATTTCTTAATGTTGTGAAATTATGAGAAGACATAGCTTTGTACCATCTCATGGTGGAAGCCTGGCTTCTTGGCCTAACCACCTCAAAAACCTCATCATCCTTTCAAGGTGGGAGTCCAGCTTGGACACTTTATTGACTCTCTTTACCTCATTCCTTCATGAGCAGCAGCTGCTGCTTCTGCTGAGCCCTGCTGGCAGGCCCAGAGGCCACCCATTAGAAGACAAGCCAAGACATCAGTGCGAATGTCCTCATGGGTTTGCCAAGAGGTGTATAATCATATTGCCCTCCCCATTTCTGGACATGTTTCTGAGTTCATTCAGCTTAAGTATGGACACAGTAAATTACCACAGTGGCTTGGCCAAGACGTGACACTACAGGTGGCTACAAGCCCATTACATACAGGTTTTGCTGCAGTGGAAATCCTCAGTAAGCACTGGTAGAAGTGCTGTCTCTGAGCACAGGTTCTGCAGGGCCCCCTCCTGTCCTGGAGGCCTGGCGAGGGGCAGCAGAAGGAGGATGTGCATATTCCCTTCGGGAGGTGGGTGAAGAGGCAAGGTCCGTGACGTGTTATCATCCCAGCAGATTGGGGACCACAGCCCATCTGTCTTTCTCCTGGGCTGTACAGATGGCCCCCAGAGCTCAGCTGTCTCTGACCCGAGGTACAGCACATCTGTGTGATCCTGGGTTGGTTTTGCTGAGAAAACTGCTCCTGCACTGTGAGCAAATACATGAACTAAAGCCAGGCAAGATAAGAAAAGTCAAAACATAGACAGAATTAAAGTTGTCAAGACGATGATAGCTAGCAACTCAGGACTCCAGAAGTAAATGCTATGTGAAAAGGGATAAATGCCTGAAGGGTTGGTTCAGTCACTATTTTGCTCTGAAGATCCCTGGGCTGGGGCTTAGCAATGCTCCTGAGTCCTTGGCTCGGGCATAAGTGATGTGAGGGTATATCCCACACACTGGGCTCCGAGATGAGGGATGAAGAAAAGGGGCACGTGAAAATAAAAAGGAAGGGAAAATGTGCCTGGGCAAGTTGTAGAGAGGAAGATGTCCACCGGGAGTGCATTTAGTCCACTGGCAGGGAGGAAGTGTGAGGAATTTGACTGAGAAGGTGAACACAAGCATAGCCAGCTGAAGAGCACAGGGGTAAATAAGCGTTTGGGGCAAAGGAGGCTGAAGGCCATCTTGCTGAGCTTGCATCAGCCCAGTGTTTGGTAAGAGGCGGATAGACCCGCTGGGCGTGCAATTGGGAGCTTTGTAAGGAGCAAACAGAGGTTCTGACATTCAGGTTGGGGTAGTGGTCAGCTATTGCAACCTTCCCCAGGTGTAAACATCTGTGAGGGGCTGTTCCCACGATGAGTAAGACAACGCTATGAACTTCTTTTATTTAGGAAAAATAAACACAATTCAAGTAAAATGAGTTAATATGTAATTATAGTGTACAACAGGTGCTGGCATTGCATTCAAAGTATAGTTAGGCTCCTGTAGCTGGCAGGAGAAGAAGCTGGTGGTGACTTGTGACTAAAATGTGAACAAGTTTTAATTTTTAATATGAAATCCGGCACCGCACAGCACTTAATAATATCAGCAGCCAGAAAATAAATGTATAATTTGTTCTGTCTAATGCTGAAAGCTAGATTTTTCTACTAGTGGACCGGGAGCTGGATTAGTTCCACGGCAGCACAGAACAAGTGGAGAGGACAGGGACCTTTGCAGGGACTCGGGCTCAGGTAGAGGTGGGCTCGCTCAGCCGGTGCTCTGCGGTACGAAACGCCGGACCTCAACTAGCACCCCCCCACCTCCCGAACTGGGGAGACGCTTTGCCTTAATCTCAGTCTGAGTTTCCATCCTGAGCCGCTGCCAGAAAGTTAAGGGGGAAGCGCACGTTCCCGTGGCCGGAGAGGTCACCCTCCCTTCTAACGAGGGCAGCCCCTCTCGCTCAGAGCTCCGCAGCCGCAGCACCGACGGCGCGGCCGGCCGCAGGGCTCCGCTCGCTCGCGTGGCCGTGGGAGCGTGGCGTGGGCTGCGTCCCCGCCTCGCCCGGGGCCAGCGGGCAGCCTCCCCCCCCCACCCCCCCCCCCACCCCACGCCCTCGGGTGGGTCTGCGGAGCGTCCCGCCACGCTCCACTTACTCGCGCGCCGTGTTTTCCCCACCGCCGCGAAACGTTTGGGTTTTTTTTTTTTGTTTGTTTTTTTTTTTTTTTTCCCCTGTAACTGGGCAGTACCGAGCTCTTCTCTCCGCTCGAGGTTAATCATCTGCTCGCAATTAACCTGTGACCTCCCACGCCCGCGGCGCGCGAGGGGCACGGCTGTAGCTTTAAGGCGGGGGGTGGACGCGCGGGGCGGGGGAGGAGGACACGGGTGGACGGCGGTGGGGGAGGACATCGGTGCCAGGCCCGGCCCCGGGAGCTGCCGCAGATCCCTCCGTGCTGCCCGGCCGCGGCCATGGGGAGCCCCGGCCTCCCCGCCGCCCTCCTCGCCGCCGCCCTCGCCTCCCTCTTGCCGCCCCCCGCCGCCCCCTCGGCCCACCGCAAGCTCCTGGTGTTCCTCCTCGACGGCTTTCGCTTCGACTACATCGACGACGGGGAGCTGGAGGGTCTGCCGGGCTTTCGGGACATTGTGAACATGGGGGTGAAGGTAGATTACATGACCCCGGATTTCCCCAGCCTCTCCTACCCGAATTACTACACGCTGATGACAGGTGAGTACTGGCGTTTCTGTGCTGTGATGCTCCTCGGAGCTGCCAGCTCCCCGTGCTGAAGCGGAGGGCAGCTCCTCGGGCCACGTTCCTCCAAAGACGACGTAAAAATAACACAGGTCCTGCTTTTAGTTGGGAGTTCAAAAGCACTGCGGCATTACAGCTCAGTACTGCTTGCCTAAAACCTGCTCTGAACTTGGAAAGGCCCCTTGGAGATGGTTTTTTGAAGTTCCTCTTCGCTCTCCCACGGTGCTGTCAGGTTCCTACCTGCTGCCAGCGCAGCGGCGCGGCCATCCAGGGCTCCCCGGTGGGAGCACTGATGGGGGCTACTGCATACAGAGCATAAAAACGAGTGGGAAATGAATGGAAAATGAATATGGAGCCTGCTCCAGAGCCTTTCCAGTTAATAAAAAGGCGTGTAAACTGAGGGTGGCTAAGCTAAGAACTTATTTTCAGCCAGCACGTCTGTTGTGGCAAGTTCAGCGTTAAATTTATTTTAAAACTTGTCAGACTTTCCACATTCACACGTCCCTGTCTTAACTGTAAGTCCTCATAGCCAAATAGAAAAATATTGGAGATTTTTGCTTTTGCTCCCCTGTGGTTTTTCTGAATGCCCAGGAGAGGCTTTCTTAAAATTCAGAGGGTAGGCATAGTTTTCATGATACTGACTTGCTTTTAATCGAAGTGGAGCGACACATGACTACAGTGACACTAGGAAGGTGCACAGAGTACAGCTGGGGCATTTCCATCAGAGAGAAACATCCTGAAAACAACAGTTAAATAAAAAAAACCCCAAATAACAACAACAAACAAACAAAAAACCAACCCCCCCCTCCAAAACAGGAAAGTTTTTCTGGAATTTCTGATTGGATTCTTCTCCAGAGTTATTTAACAAACAAGACCTTCTACCTAAAGAGGAGGAGTGAAAAAATCTGTCCTCTCCTGATATATGTGGCATCTTGTGCTGTCCTGGGAACAATACAGTGCCCAGTGGTCCATATATCGCTTGCTGGGAAAGCAAATAGATGCCATTGTAACACAAAAATCTGACATCAGTTGTGCCCAGCTTGTTTTGAAATCACTTAACCCCTTCCTCTTTGTCTAGAGAGAGAGAGAGGGAGAAATGCCTTGCACATCTCTGAACAGAGAAGAGTACATAAACTGCCACAGGTTTTTTCATGACTTGGTGCAAATGCATGAATGCAGAGCAAATGTCATGACTGCAAACAGAGATGTCATTCTGCCCCAAACCGTGTTCTTTAAGTGTACGTGGTCAAACCAGCTTAGCACTTCATGTGTGCAAAAGCCTTTGAATGGAGTTGTTAAAGAGATGAAGGAAAGCAACTGCTTTCACTCCTCAACCCATTTAATCTTCACTCCTATTAAGTGCATACGTGTAGAGTGAAGTCTGTAATCAGGCTTTTGAGGAGTTTTGAAAACATCGTATTTTGTACTCATAAAGAAGGAGTGTTGTTTCAGATGATGAAACACACTGCTAGACTTTTTACATTTTTAGGGTACCAGAGTTTCTACACCCCAGCCTGAGGCAATGAGACAATCTATGAGACCAAACTCAACTCTTCTTGCAAGTCTCCTAGCCTTCATGATGAGGATCTCAATGCAAATACAACTTAACTGCAAACAACAATTCACCTTCTTAACACATGAGTCACAGCAGTGTTAAATGGGTGAGGAACCAACCAAGGACCAAATTTAGGTGAGGAACAAGCCCAGAGGAAGATCCAAGACTGCACTTGAGCCCTGGGGGTGTTATTGTACCCGGTGGTTGTGTCCTGACATGACAGCAGGATAAATCCCATGGCTGCACTGTTCCTGCTCCCAATGCCATGGGTATGTTCTCCACAGAAAGGAGACGTCACATTTTAGGTGATGATGGGGTTAGGAGCGTGGGGCACAAGGCAGATATAGCATTAGCTGTGTTCAGTCTGTGGACGTTCCATTTGGAAAGCTGGGACAGCTTTTGGAAAAAAGTGTGGCATGGCAGGGTGACATGAGCATCGCACTGTAGTGACCTTCTTAGGGATGGGCAAGTTACCGTCTCCCCGTCGTTGCTGTACGGGTACGGGAAAGCTTACGTCGCATCTCACCTTTTGTATATCTCCACTGCGGGAGGGAGGGCTGTAACTGGTTTTGCTTCTGTGTGCAACTGGGATGTGCAGGACTTCAATGTTGCCACAGTTTCTTCTGGGAAATCAGGGACTACAAAGATAGGCTGTTCTTACTGTCTTGTCCTGAACTTCCACATCATGAGCTGTTAAGAAACTAATATTTAACCTCCAAATTGTCAAATTTTAGCATTTGTGAGAGCAGTTTCTTAGTATATTGCGTTTTTTTCATATAAATCAGCTTAAGAAATTTCTGGCCCTGCACCTGCACAATCCCACCCCTGACTTGTTCATTGTATCCTACCACTTTTTGGGATAAACTTTTCCATCCCTTCCTTATCTGCTTGTTCACAAGGTCTTGTGGCCCCGCATCCATTCAGGAGCATACATGGCTGCCAGGTCCAGGACAGTGTGTGCGTGAAAACGCTGTGGTGGGGATGTCCTTCTCTTTTGCCTCTATCATTTGTGTGAGCATGGCCTCTCCTTTCAGTCAACCATCCTTCACCCAGCATCTGCACAAGCTTCATGACTTCAGATGGGCATAGGTGTCATGGGGAGATGTTCTCCCTCATTTCAGCGGCTTTGTAGGAGAACAGTGGACTCTGCTCCTCAGGCACCACCACCACTGGGACAGGCTGGTCCCCTCAAATCTGAACTCACCTCCTCTTCCTGTCCAGAGCTGCAGGCGGAGATTATGGAGGTCAGCAGCATCTGCCCCACCGCATGTCATTGCAGATGCCAGACTGCACCCGTCAGCCCTGCCAGAAGGTAGCTTTCCTCTGCAATGGGCAACTAGCAAGCAATAGCACGCAGTGCAGCTGCCTAATTATCTGCACGATCTTTTAGTCATTATATTTTACTTTACTCATGTTTTCAAGAGGGCAGCCTAGCTGAATTTAGTATTAATGAGAAATAGCAAGTTTACTGAGCTTTTCAAAGCTATAAGCGAATAGATGCAACCATAACTGATGGTCAAGAACCGTGGATCTAAAAAGAACTAACTAATGTACGCTAATGTGAAGCATTCCCTGTTTTGCTGAGACTAGGTGCTAGGTGAAGCACCGACAGGGTGGGACGAATGGGGTGCAGCCTAGGTAAACAAAACAGATAAATTTTGGAAGGGAAGCGTGGGGAGGGAGATGACTTGCCTGTGGTCATGCAGTGCTGCAGGGTGATGACAGAGCTCTCCGCAGCAGAGCCCCTTCCTACTTAAATTTGCTGCTACTGTTAACCTGTGAGAAAATAGTTGCTGGAGCTTCCCAGAGTGACACAGAAAGCCTCGGCCCAAAGCCCAAGGCCTGCCTAGAGGTCTTTTCCCTTCCTCCACATCTACAGCAATTATGAGAAAGAAAATAAGAGCATAGAAACAAGAGGTATGCTAATGGTTTGTCTTCTTCATGCAAAGTCACTGAGTGATTCAGAGTGGGGAAGAGCTTCCCTCTCCCTGCAAGCCAGGGCATTGCCTCATGACCCTCTGTCCCAGAGCACACCCCTGCAGGCACCTGGGCTCCCCACTGAACCCCCAATGTGGTCCTGGGTCATGTTGTTCTCCTTCAGCTCCCCTCTCTCAGCAGTGCCAACACCCAAAGTAAAGACATCGGGTGTCACAGCTGCCACCCAGCACCCTGCAGGGTCTCTCACCAGGGACGGGCTGGGGTGGCACTCACAGCTCAACAGGAAGGCAAAGCACTGCCCTGAATTAGCTGAAAGACAAATGCTGTTTGCTTGAAGAAGCACCAAACAGCAGCCAAGTCAGTGCTGGAGCAAAGGGATCTCGCTGACATGCAACAGATGTTGTTTTGTTACAAAAATCTGGTGCTGTGCAAGGTAGCCCAAGGATGTACTGGCTTAAAATCTCACTCTTTGAAAAGCAATCTTCTCTAACAACTTCATTGTTGCCACCTTTCTCAGTTTTGGCTTCCACGGTGGGGTAAAGACTGGTTCTCGACTGGCTGGGTTGTTTTCTGAGCTGCCAGGCTGAATCCTACCTGGTGTCCTAGCTCTCCACTCTCTAGTTAGGATATTGCAGCTGTTGACCTGAAAGACGTGACATAAAATGGTGAATGAGGTAAAAGGAGCTGTTGTTCTGACATGTGCGTTTGAGAGAGCTTTGCAGGGCTTGATGTGGGCTTGGCAAGGGAGGGAAGGAGAAGTCCAAATACACGTATCCCAGAACCTCACTTAATCACACCATGTGCTGTTTGTTTTGCAAAGAAAGTAATTAAGACCACAAGCCACCTCAGGTTTTTATCCTGTGGGGAGTTTTTAATTTTTCCCTTTCCCTGCTGTGGCCTGGCTCTGCAGAGAGCTCTCATGCCAAGCTAAATGGAAAGTCTGAGGTCTCCCCCATAACCACTGCAAGTACAAGTTATTGCTTCAGGGCCTTCATGCCATATCTCTCAAGAAAAGCTGCTCATGCTGAGGGGTTTGGGTGTCCCTCACCTGCCAACCCACAGGCATTGGGGGGGTGCTGGGTGACCCCCTGCACCCCAGCTCCCCTGAAGCCATCCAAGCCTGGGGCACACAGGGGCCCCTCACATTTCCAGCCCCAGCCAGCATAAACACGGGCGGACAACATCACAACCGAGCTGGAAACCAGGGAGGATTTATTTTCCAAGATCCTAACAACAAATGAGATGTTTTCTGGCAGGTCCTCCATGCAGATGTGCCAGCCACCTGGTCAGCTGCTCGGCCTCGCATCCAAAAGCCGTATTTCTCTTGGCCTCCTTGGGAAGCAGAGGGAGTCCCTGCTCGCAGAGGTGGTGGTGGGGGGAGCTGCTCAGAGACGAGCCAGCAAGGGGCCTCCATGTCCCTTTTTGGACAGGACCTGATCTTAAATACTTGGCAGAGAGGCTGCGAGGTCCCGTGAAGCTTGCA